GGGCCGGGCCGGGTCGGGCCGGGCAGCGCCGCCGCGGAGCTCTCCGGGCAGGCTCACCTTGCTGCTCCGTGCTCCCTCCTGCCTAAACACGGGTGTTTCTCTCCTTCAGGGTGGCAAATTCCATTCGAAGAGTGTTCATCGCGGAAGTTCCCATCATAGGTACGGCCCGTGGTCACGGTGCCCCGGGCTGCTCTCCCCGTGGCTCCCAATCATAGAATCATAGAATCATCCAGGTTGGAAGAGACCTCAAAGATCATCGAGTCCAACTGTGCTTCCCCTCCGTGTTCTCTCGCACTTGCCAGCTGCTTTCAGCTTCTCTTGCCCAGCTCAGGCACTTCTGTGCACTGCAGGTGGTGTCTCAACATCGTTATAGTCTTTATAATATTTTCTGTGCCTTCCCAAACTGTTTGGCTTTTCCCCACATGACTGAGAGGAGACCTCATCACTGTATACAACTTCCTCACAAGGGGCAGTGAAAGGGCAGGCACTGGTCTCTTCTTTCTAACAGCCAGGGACAGGACCCAAGGGAATAGCCTGGAGATGTGTCAGGGGAGGTTGAGGCTCGACATTAGGAGAAGGTTTTTCCCCCAGAGGGTGTTTGGGCATTGGAACAGCTCCCCAGGGCAGTGATTACAACACCAAGCCTGGCAGAGCTCAAGAGGTGTTTGGACAATTCTCTCAGGCACATGGAGTGCCTCTCAGGGATGTCCTGTGCAGGGGCAGGAGTTGTACTAGATGATCCTCATGTATCCCTTCCAACTCTGAAGATTCTGTGATTCTCAGTGTGTGACTTTCTCCTCTCTGCAGCCATTGACTGGGTCCAGATAGATGCCAACTCCTCTGTGCTCCACGATGAATTCATTGCACACAGGCTGGGTGAGTGCTGAGTGGGGAGGGAAGTGAAGGTGAGTTGTGGGTGAAATCAGTCTAGAGATGCTGAAGCACCTTTGTCAGGAGGCTGCTGTTCCTCCACCTGTGTCAGCAGGAGGGTCAGTGCTCCCATGGTCTCACTGAGATATTCCCTGGTGCCCTTCTTCCCACAGGTCTCATCCCGCTCACCAGCGATGACATCGTGGATAAGATGCAATACTCCAGAGTGAGTGAAGCAAATGTCCTGGGGGTTGTTTTGGTGGAGGAGGGTGTCTGATCTGATGGGAAGCACTGGCAGTTTCTTGTGTAAAGGTTTGTGTCCGTCCCAGGACTGCACATGTGATGAGTTCTGCCCCGAGTGCTCTGTGGAGTTCACCCTTGATGTCCGATGCAATGAGGACCAGACTCGTCACGTCACATCCCGCGATCTCATCTCCAACAACCCCCGGGTCATTCCGGTCAGTGCC